GACAATTCCTGCCTTAGAAAGGGAAGGGAAATGAGGAAATTGTAAAGATTCAAGTTTTATCCCTTTCAACTACGTTAGCAGTTTCCTCAGTTTTAAAGCATAAAAGGCAAATGAGATATCCAACCAAGGACAATGAGAATGTTGAAAAGCATTGAGTTTTAAAAGTAAGTATAAAGATATAAATGCTTAACCTGGGGAAAAAAGGAGATTTAGAAAGCATGTGATAATTCTTTTAGACATATTTGAGAGTCATCATGTAGAAAAGTGGTTTTATTTATCTTTGTCTAAATGGAAGAGGGCAGAGTTGCTTTTAATAGCAAGTAATGTAAATATCATGTTATATCATATAAATTACATGTATTTCTAATTCTAATGGAGATAATAATTTAGATAGGCTATGATAACTGCCCTCAAGGAGCCTATGTTCTAATTGAAGAGAAAAATCAACATATATAGCCCAGTATGACTACTGGGGTAGAGGCATTATATATGTGTATGTGTATGTCTCTGTGTGTTGTATACACACACACACACACATGCACACACACGTCTTTTTTTAGTGACTCAATAGTATTTTATTTCAGATTCTGCCTTATTAGAAGGTTGTTTATGAGATGATCATAGTCTTTTTAAATTTTATAGTGAACATTGTAGATTTGATGAGAATGTGTGGAAACCAGTTTTGAAGTACCACATGTTGATAATAAACTATTTTATTTTGCCTAGAGAAATCGATTCATTACTTTATTGTCCAATGTAATATTTTAAATTGTAAAATAGCAAGAAAAGAGGCAGCTCTATTAGGCAAGTATATAGAGTGTGTTAAGGAAATGTCCCAGAAAGCATATACTTACATGAATGAGTTGAGTTTAGAAGGATGATTAGAAGTCAATGGATAAAGAAAGTCGTGAAGTATATATTAGGCCAGTGGAAACACATACAGTAAAGCATGGAGACATGTGGCAGCATGTTGAACAATATCTGGTTTTAATTTTGTTTGGTTGGTAGGTAGGTTTATTTACATTTTTTGCACATGAGCTCCAGGGACCTTTTCTGTTTTGTTCATCGCTATATCCTCAAGTTCTCTATAAATACCTGCTGAATAAATAAATAAATGAAAATAATTCTATATGAATGTTAAGAATTGTGTCCAGTGAAGGACATTGGCACTATGTTATGGAAGCAATTAGTGTATGCCATGCAAAGAAATTTCTATTTGGTTTCTTGAATATATGAATAAGTTTTAGCATGTTAGTGACTAAACATATAACCAAACATTTTTAGTGTAATTAATAAATTAAAAGGATGGTATTTTTTATGCCCTAGGAGTAATCCGGATGAAATTATCTAAAATGGCCAGAGAGGGCTTCATAGTAGGTCATTTTTCGGTAGGTAGGGAAGTCTGGAATGTGAGAGGGTGCAGAAGGAGGAGGCACAGAGTATTTTTGAAGAGAGATGACCGAAACATTTTATTTCTGAAGAATGGCTTAAGGAAACAGAAAAAGCATTCGCCAATAAGAGGGAAAAAATATGCTTATTCTGGCCTTTGTCACTTACTGAATAACTTATAGGTACTCACTTAACTTCCTTTGCCCTTAGTTTTCTCTTTATAAAAGAAAGCTTTTTTTCTTTTTTATTTATTTGTTTATATTTTACGCCTACAGCACCCAGTCTTCCTAAGTGGTCTCCCATCCAAGTACTAACCAGGCCTGACCCTGCTTAGCAGCCAAGATCAGATGGGATTAGGTGTGTTGAGGGTGGCATGGCTATAGACTAAAATAAAGCTTTTAACGTTGATTATTTTCTTGATTGCTCTAATTGTAAATATTTTTAATTTTTATGAATAATAATAAATATAGCTAAAAGATTGACTTGACACAGTCAATGAAGGAAACTAAAGAGTAATCTATTTACTTTGATCTTTACTTGATGGACTTATCATTGCTTTAGTAAACCTTTAGGTCTATTTGTGTCATATAAATTAGTTTATAATTATTATTAAAAATATGAGAAATAAAATAGGCAAAAATTTAAAAATTAAAGGCCATCCCAATCCCAATTTAGATAACTCTGGTTAACGTATTGATATTTTCCCTTTATCTTGGATAAACAGAGAGATGTGTAGCTACATATATATATATTTTTTAAACTAAAAACTTTTGGACTTACATATAATGTTAACCCAATATTTTTTCACTTAGCACAGGATAAACACACTTTCATGTCAGATATCCATTTTTTCTGTATTGTTTCCGATGCCAATATAGCACATTCTTGTACATTAGTATCATTGGAGAACTAATCTTCATTGTTCAGCACGTAGGTTGTTTCTTAAATCTATTATTTACTATCACTGTTGATGACTGCAAAATGATACTGTCTGAAATTCAGTATCTGGATAGCATATTCTTTAGAAAAGTAGTTTAAATTAACAACAAAGCATCCACATCCCAAGGTCCTGACATCTCTTGGAAATCTGAGTTCGGAGATTGTGATTGTGATTTGAGAAGTATTACCTTTGTGATGAGAACTGAAATTTGAGATCCTTAAGTTTCCTGAGCAAGGGTGCAAGGGGGACTGTCTTTTAAACTTCAGAAAAGGCAGCATACATTACGGCCTAAGTATGTTGTGAGGCTGTACAGTCTGGGTTGCTGTAGTACCACACTCTGGCAAAAAGTCAAAAAGACAAAACAAAGACAAAAATCCCCATTTGTACAGTATGAAAAAAGATTGCCTATTACAAGTAAATATTTTAGGTTATATCTTACAAGTATACAAATAAGTAGTATTTTTGTCAATAAAATTCTATTTTATAAGAAGTGATACTTCTTACTTGAAAGAGGTGTGTGTATGTTTATTTTTTGCTATTCGTTGTTTCTTTTGGTTTGTTTTCTTTTTGCTTTTGTCTTGAAGCTTTAGGAAAACCTTGCAGTTTGTCCAGATCATTCCCTTTTTAAGTTTTAAGGCAGCAACCTGCTTAAGAATTTCAGAGTAATGCTTTATTTATTTAAAAAGTTACATAAATTAGGAAATGCCAGTTGAGCTGCACATATGTATCTGTATCCTTGGGCTGGTGCCTAATGCCATATCTGCCAATAGTTATTAACAAATCAAAATTCATCTGTAACATTGAAGGGATTATATATTTTAATACGAAGCCATAAAAAGAGAAGAAAATATGTAGTGTCATTTACCTCGCCCAATGAAGAATGTGGACCATATATATTTCTGCTATCAGCATCAGACACAAGATTGCCTGGAGTGAATTCCTAAGATTCCTCAGGTACAGAAGGTGCTTCTAAATTTTTCCCAGTGTTAATCAATCCATGGTGTCAGGGGAGTCTTCCTTAGTCTAATCTAAACTTATTTGGTTCAGTTTAAATTATGATTATGCAGAGCTAAGAAAGTCTCATCAAAGGTGGTCTTTTTTAATCCACCCCTGTACATACTTACATGGATACAGACACACATCATACATACAATTAACGCCTCAAATTATCCCCCACTTTTCTATTTTATAAATTATAGCTTTCATCTTTGTTAATAATCTTTTTCATAGTATTGCCATCCTGTGTGAGGACGGGAGAAATTATGTTCACAGCAGGATTGACCAATATTCAGAAATATGCCTTGAAACCCAGAATATTTCTAGCAGAAGATGACTGCCGTAGCTGAAGCCTAAATGCCATCAGGCACCTCTTTGCAGGTACCTGAGACACATTAGTCTTTCAGTTGACAAGTCTGATGCCTTTTTACATATTAAGTGAAATTTACTTTACATTATAAATAGTAGAGGTCCAGAAATAATTTCTATGCAAGTCATGGCAATTTTTATCTACACAAGACACATTCCTGTAAAATTAAAGTTCTGCTCAAATAACTTGTCTTTTGAGTGATGATTCATAAGGGAAAGGCGTTCTTACTTTAGAGGGAACTAGCCCTGTCCATTCAGTAACCACTTTGGCTGACAAAATTCATTCTTTTTATATTTGCCAGTATTTGTCTTTCAGAGAGAAACAGAGAAATGGTGGGAGGGAGAGAAGGTGGTGAGAGAGAGAGAGAGAACCAATACAAAAATAGAATTGAAAGTGTGTGTGTGTGTGTGTGCGCGCGCACATGTGTGTGTGAAAGAGAGAGAGAGAGAGAGAGAGAGAGACTGAGGCTTTAAAAACAAAAGGCCTGATGAGATCTTTAATAATCTGACAGTCAGAAAGGAGGATAACATTTAGCAAGCACCTACTATGCTTCAATGTGTGATGCACTTTGCATAAGTATTTTCATTAAAGCTTTCCAATAATGCAGGGTGCATTATTATGTTCATTTAACAACAGCATTTTACAGTTTTGAGAGCCAATTGAAGATTTCAGCATTAACTATTCGGTACGTGTTTGGTTTCTGAGCAAAAAAACTCCTGTCACGCACATGAGTAGTACATCATCCACTTTCCAAATCGGATGTCTAGGGCTTAGGCGCCCCTGCATTTTCCAATATCCTTATGCGGTAGGAAATTAGGAGACCTGCATGCCTGCTGCTGTACTGAAAACGGTGGAGGAGAGAAGACACAGACGTGTTAGGTGGCTTTCCTAAAATCTCATAAACAGTAGTGGGATTACTGGAAATTGAATGTAGGCCTCCTAACTGCTATTGCCCATATCTCTGAGTACTAAAGGCAGTTCCACAAATTAAGTACAGAAAGACTGGGTTAATGGGTCCAGGGAGATAAATTCTGAAGTTATCCCTTTCCATCTTTAAATCTCAGTGTGTTTTAAACAGCGTTTTTGTTTGTTTATTTAATTGATTTTATTTGTGTTAATTCTCGACATACTGCCTTTTAAAATAGAAAAAGGATGGTATTATATAACTGCCAATTTTCATTATTGTAAACGGATCGATGTAACCTATATTAATTCAAATGCTGGGTTGAAGTGATTTTTGTAAAAGATTGTATAGAAAAATCAGATATGATACAAGAACAATCATTGGCTATTTGTTTTTTGCAGTCACAATATGGGACTTCAGTTCCTGCCAAGCCCGAACTACCCCTCTTTTATACTCCTGTTGATCTGGTGGACATTAGTGTGGAAATGGCTAGATTGAAGTTCATAAATCCTTTTGGTCTTGCTAGTGCAACTCCATCTACTAGCGCCTCAATGATTCGGAGAGCTTTTGAAGCTGGATGGGGTTTTGCCCTAACCAAAACTTTCTCTCTTGATAAGGTAAGAAAATAATTTTGAACTCATGTTTATGTGTCTATCATATTTTCAAATTAGGACATAAATATTATAATAGAAATATTTTTGTGGCCAAGCAGTAATAGTTATTAAACTGCCAGACAAGACCTATTATTACATGTCAGTCTTCTCTTCTATTCGTTCTGTCCCATGGAAAGTGGGGAGCATATATTTCTCATTTTCTTTTGTTTATGAAGCATCAAAAATATAAATGCTACGAAGGCGACTGTTTCATTTAATAATCACAAACTCATGAGTTCTTATTTCTGTATATCGTTTTGTGATTTCTGGATGTGTGTGAAAGAGGAGGTGCATATGCCTCCACTGAAAGTTGGAGAGACGATGGATTTAGTTTGCACATAATCCTGGGTTCTAATTCATGTCAAAGGAATCTCTCAGTGTAACTCATTGGTGCTGGTAATAAATAAGATTTTTCTGGAATATTTAAATACAGAAACTTTGCCCAAAATACAGATACTTGACTTTAATTTGTCATTATGGACATATTTAATAGAAAACAAACGATATATTGAAGTTGAGGTTGCTTCTTTAAAGTACACAAAATATATGAATGTATGTTTTCAAAGTAGGATGATTTATGCAATAAGGGGTCACAGACTTACATGGTCTTAAATTAGAAGAGAACAGCAAAATTTAACATTAATTAGACTCTATTGATATAATTTTAAATGCTAAACCTATTTATGTATTTAGCACTAACTGGTAGTTAGTAATAATTAATGTATAAGAATGTGTGAAGCTAGTGACTAAGAAAAGAGTATCGTTATTTAAATTAGCCTTATCCTTAGGCAAAGAGAATAATAGAGAACAAATATGCCCCATTAAGCACATTCTCTCCTTTCTTCCTCTTACTAGGATCAATAGCTAGCATTATTATAGATAAAACATCATGGCTGTCTTAGTCTGACAGCTTTACAAGATGCTATGTGCAAGTGTGGTCAAGAAAATCTAGAGATTCCTCAAAAGTTAGAAAAAAATAGTGCATGAAAAAATACTTCTTAAATATATTTATGTTTAAATAGCTAAAACAATGCTCTTTTTAAAATAAATTGGCTGAATATTTAGAAATACTTCGGTTAAACAATGTGTAAAAGCTACAGAACATAATGAATTCAGCTGTAGAATATCATTAATCGATTGTTTACAGCCTTGTAGAATATTGATAATATGTTCACCTTTGTTGCAATTCATCCTTTAAGAATTACTGGAAAGTCGTAACCAAAAGTCTAATTCGTTGTGAAAAACCGACTCTGATAGAATTTAATGACACAGTAGTTATACTATTTTAAAAGTTTTATATGTAAACAGAAATAGATGGCTAATTAGGTACTGCTGAAGAATTATAGCAAAAAAAAAAATGTTTGCTTTGAATGTGCTGGGGGAGTTTTTTGCTTGCAAAAATTGAATTCTGATTAATCAGAGACACCTGTCTTTACTCTGTTGGTGACATGCATTGATTTGCGACGCTGTCTCTTTCAGTAACCTGGGAGCAGTTCCCTTTATTAAGACCACTAGCAGAAATAAATAGGGAAGATAACTTCCTTTCGAACCTCCAATATGAATTTAGTCTGACAATTCAGAACTCTGTGATGCTGGTTCAGGAGAGTTATGAACAAATGCAAATTAAATTTGGCACATAAAACATAATGATGAGGGTTTTAGAAAACTCTATTTTACTTACTTTCATGGTAGATAAAACAAAATATTTGTGCAAAGACTATTTTAAATTATTTGTGCAGATTGTAGTGGCATAAAAAAATGATGCTGCCTTGGATTTATATAATGCCATTTTCAAAAATGATTTTTTCCCATACATGATTTTGTAAAGTAGCCCATTAGCTTCATAGAGATCTACCTTTTTTTTTTGGTTTCTTATACTGTCCCTAATTAATAATTAAACCTGCTGTGAATATACAACATCTTATGAGCTTCTGTGCTTTCTCATTGATGAAATGTTGCAGTATACAACTCAGTAGTATAAATATGTGCTTTTCCCAAAGCCTTTTATTAAAGACATCTATTAAAATATTATATATATTATACTTTTGTGTAACATTATAGCATACCAATTTAGATTAGGCTTATTATAATTTATTATCCCAATTCAATGATCTACTTAAAATGTATTAAAATTCTGAATCTTGATATTTGAAATTTGGATGCTCTTAATATGACAGAGGTTATTCTATCGAGTTTTGTTATCATATGAAATATTAATATTTCACAATACAGTTTTGATGAAGTGCAATTTACCGTGCCTGCATATGATAAAGAAATTAAGTGCTTACCAAGGGAGTTTGGTAAAAATTAGAGCCCTGGCTGAACATCTGCTGGAAATTTTATTATCCTGTCCTACTGACAGTGTGACTCCCTTGTTGTTTTTCTAGATTGACAGCTGAATATTGCACTGATTTCTACAGCAAATATGTTTAGGTGAACTTTGTTTCTCTTTTTTTATATTTTTGGGAGTTCGGAACATGCTTTTGATTTTCATCCTATATATATATTTTTATACTCTTGACATTTGTAGATGCCAGATTGAGGTCTAATATGCTGTAGCAACGATAGACCATTGACTTACAGTGAAATGCCAGTTGATATCTCAGTAAACAGAAATATTATTATTCTTTACTGTGCAGTCTGTATAAAAGCTCTATGTGCTTTCTTAGGGACGCAAATGATCAGATTTTTAATGTCAAATATAAAAAGATCCGTGTTTGCTTTTGTGTTAAATAACATCAAAGATGGCTTTTATTAACTATCTTCTTTCTTCCCAAATCAGTCTTTTCTAGAATGTCTCAAAATATCAACATTGCTTTTCTCGAGATTCTGTTATGTTTTATAATGATGACATTTAAAATGTCATCATAAAAGTGTTAAATATAATTAGAAATTATTTTTCTATATAAATATATATTGAGTTCAAATTTAAATTTTAAAAGATGGGAAAGAAATCAATCTGTCAAGCTCAATTAAAGCTAACCTATCATGACAAATGCTTGGTTTAAGTGGGAATATTAGAAATTGTTTAGATTTCACATAAAATAACCTCCTGACCTGTGTTCACATTATACTGATAGGAAATAGATAAAAGCATTTTGTTTTTGTTAATTGTATTATAATATTTTTTCTCTCAAGTAGCTATATATTATATACTGCAAATATATAATATCTAACTGCAAGTTGCATATATCTTTATCATTACACAGATAAACTCAGAAGTGTTTATTACTATCCTAAATCAAATTTAAACCTAAGCAAAAATTCATTTCATTTGTAAGCTATCTGTAGATATTTGAGTAAAGTTGTGATTGATTTTTAGTAAGAAAGTGTCTTGAATGCATATATTTTGTTTTAATAAGTATCAAATAATTAGATAAATAGGTGCACATATAATGAGTCTCTCTCAAATACTGAAAACTATACACTGAGGAATATTTAAGTTTCTTTATTGTTTCTTTGGAATCAAAGTGTTGATTGTAGCTGTTTCTACAAAACATAGCCTTATGCCACATAGCACAATGCTTAGTGTATAGGAAGAGTTTGATAAATGCTTCATAAATATTTGTTGGATAAACAAATAGATGAATAAATAGATTTTTTTGGCAACAGCATATTGAGTTGTTTTTTTTTTTTAGCCATGAACAGACAGTTAACACATAAAACATTGACTGTTCCAAGTATTGATCTTAATCAAACGAGAAAAGGCCAATTTAAAATTTTCATATCCTGTTACTTTCTATAATTCATCTATACATGTCTAAAAATGAAAATGTCAGTGGAATTTCTAAGTACATGGATTGTATATTATTAAGACTTAGGTTGTTGAGTGAGCCCTTAAAATGCAATGAATTTTTGAGAAAACAGAATAAGTGTTGCGCAATTTTAGAAAGGGTCGTAAAAATTATCTGGCCAAACTATCTCAGGTCCTATGTCAATAGCCCTTACAGAAGAAATGTAAACTGTTCTTGAATGCTTTTAATGACAGTGAATATGCTAGATCTTTAAAGGCAGTGCAGCCTCTTATAGCAACAGAAAGATCTTTTATAAATACAATTCTTTTATTGATCCCAAATCGGTCTTCTCATAAGTTCCATCCATGTTTTATAGTTCTGCCCTATGAGACAGCATGGCATAAATTAGTCTAACGTATTAACATAAACAAATTGTTGAGTTTAAAATACAATGTTCTTTTTGTTTTTCTTCTTCAAGTAAATAAATACCTTTGAGAGAGGCTAACAAGTATGGAGAGGCTGTGCCGACTAGGGAAAAGAAATTTGACTTGGTTGACTCTGTTTTTCATCCAAAGCTGCTTCTGAATCACTATCATGGTGTCTCATCATCAAAGGAGGTAGCTAGGGTTTGTTCACAAGATGGCAGTGCCCAAGAGGGCAAAAGAGAAAACTGCACGACCTGTTGAGATAAAGACTCAAAAGTCACACACTGACACTTCCACCCAACCCTCTTGGCGAAAGCAAGTTACAAGGTACAATATACATGCTATATGCAAGAAATAGGTAAATACCTTTTACCTATTTTTACCTATTTTACCTATTGATGGGAAGAATAGCCAAATCATGTGACAAAAGGGCATGCACACAGCTTGGAAGGATTATTGTAGCTATCTGTGCAAAGTACTAACTTGCCCTCTCGTCACAGTAATTCGCATCCCTTACACATGCAAAGTGAACAATTTTTTCTTATCTACCCCTTTCCAAGACATTTTTGGTGTCGTTCAATCTGGCATTAGGCTCAGCATCTATGATCTTGTGATTTATATTAAGTCCCAAGTCATATAAGGCTACTTGGGTTCCACTTCTCTTTATCCAGAATTCTGTGAAATGGGAAGACAAATTGTCTATTTCATATACACCCAACAAAAAAAATGATATGGTCATTTTTTTGATACAGAAGATAACTCTCATTGAGAAACAGGAGAAATGGAAGAAACATAGCAATTACTT